TATATTTTTCTATTTTCTGATCACCCTGTAGATATTATTTCAAGTTTTAATAGTTTAATAGTATTTTTTCAAGAAGCCGAAACTTTTATAAAGAATAACTTTTTCTCGAAAAATTGATAATAAAAAAGTTTCCCATATGCTGCAAACTTAAGTAAACACACCTCGGGACACACTGTATTGATTGATTTTTTTTTTCTGTGGGATTTCCATAGATACAAATAAAATTATGTTCATATCAAAGTTCATACTGAGTACACAAGTCTGGCAGATAAAAACGCAATCTGTAATCCCGTTTGGCAGCCAGTTATTTGCCTACCAATAAAATTATAGAACAGAAAATTTTTCTTGCAGATAGTTTGATGGTTACCAGCCAGCAAGTTTATGTGTAGATAAATAAATCAGGATTAAAAGTATGAAGAGCCTTGGATTGTTTTCAAGACTAAAATAAAAGCATTTTTAATTATTTTGGAATCCCAATGTATGGGTGATTATTTTGAACAGATATACAGGGTGATTAATGGTTGCTGGTACCTTAAATGATTGGATTTTTTCGAGGATTTTTTTGAAAATTTGCATGCTCAAGTGATTGCTCCTAATTTATCATTCTAAAATAATTTCAAGGATGCGACATTGCCGCTTATACCAAAAAGTAATAGGTATAAAATTTGATATTTTAAATGAGACACCTTGTATATTATTGCATTCTTCACTCCACTATTACTTTCTGATTATTTTTGTATAAAATTCCCTACAAATAATATATCATGTTCTTATACTTACCCAAAGTAGTAAGGTTTTTCTGTTGAAAATTGTATTATTTTGGGATATTTGTCTAAAGGCGTTTCCAATTAATTAATAGATTTAATTCGTACTGAGTGTATTTCCATCTTTTTCTCTCAATCTGTTGAAGAAACAAATAGAAATACTTTTTCTTTGCACTCATTCTACCAATCAAAAAAGTCATTGAATAGCTATGAAGTGTCACAATGAAACATATTAGGTGATTCAAACCACATGATTTTCTACAATGTCAAAATTGACAGGAGGAAGTTATGGTAAAATGGATAGCCCACTTTTATAGTTGCCTATGATAACTTCCATATGCCTATGGGTCAAGGTTGTTTGAGAGAAGTAAGTTGCCTGTTAACTTTTTGACGTCATCTGAGGTGCCTCAACAAAAACATTGTATGTAGGAGAGAGACAAAAACACAACAATGTTAATATTTTTATGTATGACACATTGTGGAAAGTGAACCATCCTATGCATTTGTTTTCAATTCTTGATGATAACCATGGTGAAGTTTCATAGCTATTCAGGCTTATGATATATCCTCTCCCATTATTTTAACAGTTGTGTTATAGCTCATAATACTTCATAATATACAGGGTGCTCTATTTAAAAAACTGCACTTCTTATCTTTTCTATACCTGGCAGCACAATTACTAATTTTGACCAACCCTGTATAATGTATATAGAACAAACTTTCTTGCTCAAAAGTAATAGGACCTCCCTAAGTTATATCAAAATTTTTAACTTTCTACAAATCTCAGTGACGTAGTAAAAGCTCAATGTGACTTTTTGGTATAAGCGGCAACATTGCATCTTTGAAATTATCTTAAAATTATAGATTAAGAGCAATTACTTGAGAATCCATCACCCTGTATATAACCTAACATTTTCAAACAGATTTTTACAGAAGCATCAAAGAGCGGTTTAAAACATTTGGAAAATTTCTGATAACTTCTGGAACATTCCAACACTTTAAGACCATTAAGGAACCAATTAAAAACTTTAGGAAACATTTTGAAAAGTTTCAGAATGCGCTAGTGCCAAGTTAAAACATTTTAAGACGCTTTAGAACAATTTAGAACTTTTAACACATTATGATGTGCAGTCGTTAATACACACCGCAAGGAATAGAGAAGCAATGGAAAATGTTATCGCAAATATCCATTAATGGATACGCATTGGAAAAAGAAGGAAGACTTTTATTTCATTTTTCAATCCTTCTGTATTTGATTGAGTTCGAACTTTCAAAAACATTGTGAAACGCTACAGAATACTTTCGAACTTTGGGAAAGCTTAAAATACTTCAAAGTTCAAGCCTAGATCCAAATTAAAATTTCCAGAAGTATTTTGGAACACTCTAGAACACTTTACCAATCATATGGAACTCTTGAAAACAATTTAAAATTAGAAACTTCCAGAATATATTAAAAATCGTCACATGACACTTTAAAACTAACTTGAAACTCCATGACACTTTAAAACATTTCTGAACTTATTTAGAATTTTAATTAGAAATATCAAACAGTGTATCGACGGTCATCTGACAATACCTGCTAACTGACATTTTATTCAAAAATTAGATTTTTCTACAGTTAGCCTTGTATTTTTGTTAGGCACAATACGATAGAGCCTGCTATCTGCTATCTGCTTTCAATTAATATTTAATACGTCTGTTTAAAATTTAGATATTCAGTTGTAAATTTATTTAAATAAGAACGGTTTTTTATTCCCCCTGTAAAATTAACGTTTATGCACATAGCAGGTATTGTCAGATCACCGTCGGTATGCTCCTGTCAATTTAGAACACATTTTAAAACACTCTAGAGTACTTACTTTAGAATAAACTTATTAATCTTCAGATGATTTTTAATTCAATTTTCATTCCTCTTTTGTAAAATGCTACAATATACCTACTTTTAAGATTTCAGAGTTTGTGTACACGTGTGTGTGTGTGGCAATGAAGAAATGTTTGTTTTTTTTTTTGTCCTCTTATAAATATTTTAGTGGGATTCTTCTATGGATATTTGTGTTAATTCATAATATGGAAATATCCATCACAAAAGAGAAAAATGTTTGTCAACCCTGTAAAAATATGTTACATTGAAAGATGCCTCTTGATACGTAGTACCTACATGTATACCAATTTCAATAAAATGCATAAGTGCAGATATTGATAATAATTAATGATTTATTTTAAAAATATCTATCACAAAAGTTGAGACTTTTAGGATATATGTTCATATCAAGTTTTCTTCAGAATAGGTCACTTGAGCCTGAGAATTTTCTCGAAATCAGCTAAACCATTACAAAACCAGCTTGGAACCAGTGAAAACCAGCTAAACCAGCACAAAATCATCTCAAAACCAGTGAAAAACACTAGTATTGTGCTGGTTTAGCTGGTTTCGAGTCGGTTTTTACTGGTTTCAAGCTGGTTCACCTGTTTGAAAAAGGTTCTCAGACTCAATAAGTGATCTTGCATTCCTTTTTTAACAAATAGAAATTGACTGGAACAAAGGAATGACGTCAAAAACGTTTGTTGGTTCTTAAACCAGAAGTGATTCATTTTAATTTGTCAAAAAAATTGAATGTCATATGAATTAATCCATGACAACCCTTTTTTTCCAAGTTATGGCGTGTTCGATGTCAAAAGTATGAACCCTGGTGAAACGGACCTTACTTTATTCTTTAAATCGTCCTCTTAAGTATTGAAGTTGAATGAGAAAACATCCTGTAGAGTATCATACATAAAAAATGAATGTACTATTTTATTAAAGCAATCTACAATCTACGATTAAGTAAAAGTAGCATCTGGTTGCAATTTTTTGAATTCTGTCAGATGGTATTCATTAAAATTATGCATAAAGTGTATCTAATCTAACTATGGTTTCCCAAGTGGTTTCCTATTAATTAATATATTTTTTTGGATTCCCACAGACATAAATAAAATTATGTATGTTCATACTGAGTAGATAGCTCTGGTTCTATGGGACACTCAAAATCATAAAATCAAGGGGTTTTTCATTGTTAATCGGTGTTCAAATCACTGATTAATATATGTCAATACCAGGTAAATACTATGTCAATGATGATGTCAATAGTGTCAATACTTACTTGTTAATTATGTAGGTAATATATGTCAATACTTGTAGATATTTAGGCCTAGACAATATGTTAATGTCATTGGTTGATACCTCGGTTGATACCCATTATTAACATGTAAATACCTGTGGATATGTCAATAGCATGGCAATATCTGGTAATAATAATATGTGATAATACTATGGAAATACCCGGCAAAATGTGGAAATATTTTGTTAATAGGTACATGGAAATAGTTGGCAATAACTTTTTATTAGGTACATAGATATATCTGTTAATACATGGAAATATCTCAGTACCTACTGTTAATCAGTGCACAAATTTTAATAGGTGAAAAAACCCTGGGGTTTAATCTAATTTGTTTCCTATTAATTGATATTTTTTTATGGGATTGGGAAATTATGTATGTCCATACTGACTACATAACTCTGGTTCTAGGACACTGAAAACTATAAAATTTACAGGAGTGCGAATAAGAAATTATAATATTGGTATAGGAATTGAAAAAAGTCATGAAAAAGAATGTTTCTCAATCAAAAAATGTTGTATCGGTTGATTGTCTATTTTTTACATCCACATCTATCTCACTTATTTGAAGAGGAAAAGTACCCAGAAATGTCAAATGTGAAAGTTCTAAGTAATATATAATAAACTAATCATACAATTTAGGATTTTGTTATAAAACTGTAAAGGGAAAGTAACGAGCTATCCAACGATGTACAACATAAGGTATAGCTTCTTATTTGAAAAAAATACGTTAGGGTGGCTACTCTTTAAGGGTGTTGGCGAGGTGACTCAAAAAGTGCTTCATTTTGGTTCCCCCTGTATGTCCGAATGGAAACATCATTGCAGGGCAGTTATGCTCGACGCGGTGTTGATAATAGGAATTTTTTTGAACACGAGATTTGAAGAGCCCTAATAACATTGTTCAAGACTAAAATAAAAGCATTTTTAATTAATTTGGAACCCTACTGTATAAGTGTACCTATCTAATATGATTTGACATGAAGACAAATATTATTATAATTATTAATGAATACTCTGAGTGATATCAGATTGCAAATACCATGCACTATTTCCAAGGTTTTCATGTCATCGTTTTCCATTTCAGACATCTGATTTGTGACATCAATGTGTACAATCGGAGATGGTGTGTAGAGAGGAAATATTGACATGGTTTAAGGACTTGGACAGTTACAAACGGATCGACATGCTGTGCGAATTCATCACCATGTGCCTGCCGTTCGAGTTGCGCTTTGTCGGAAGTTTCATGGAAGAGCTGGGCAAGCACAGCTATCAGGAGCTGCGGCAGCCCGCCTTCACCGCCAACGATGTTGACAAATTGGAAAAGGACGCGACATTGAAAAGTTTGACTCTATACGACCAAGAGGGTCGTCATCGAATTCTTCTCAATGTTGCTTTATTGAAATCGCGCAATTACAATGCTGCCAATTGGCATTCGAAAAACTTTCTTAGGACAGATTATATTGAGGATTTGGTGATCAAGGAAAAGGCAAATGAGACAATTCAAAACGAATTGTTGACGTTGTATACTATGGCGTCTAGGCATCCTGCTTTTAGTTTCGAACAAAAGGTGTTTTTTCAGCGTGTTTTGGGGCATTTGTTTGAATTGCGCGAGAGTAGGTTGAGTAGTATTAGGTTGCAACAGTGCCGGTATCCGCCTGGATTTGATGCACCCATCAATCCTTATAGGAAAGTAAGTAATAACAAACTACTTATTTTGATGAAAATTTGTAACATCCTGTATACATATTAGGTGCAAGAAAATGGTCCATTTCCGATAAGTTATCCCATGTACCATCCTCCAGGACTTCCTCCTCCGCCCCAATTAGATTTCACTGGTCAATTTCGTTCTGGATGGCCTCCTGCATTAACTTGTGGAGCACCTGAGGTAATTTGAAATTTCTAAAAACTGGCTCAAATGACATAAATAATATTTAGATTCCTCCGTTTCCACAACCATTACCGCTCCAACCGCCACAGCCATCTACTTCCCCGCTAGTCAGCTCACCAAATCAATCGCGGAGCGGTTCGCCTCGGCCTCCAATCAAACCGCCACCGCTCGCTTTTCCTTCATCAGTACCGGTGGTACCTCTGATGCCAGTTGTTCCTATCGAGCCTCTGACCAGATCTAGTCAGAGTGAAGACACAATTAGTACAATGAAGGCGGACGATTCACCAATTTGTTCCAGTAAACCGTGGTTGGAAGGGGGCGGCAAACAGATCAACGGGCTGCGCGTAGGACCGGCGTATGCGCAGGCCGTTGCTGCGCCTCCCACTTGCAACGTTCGGAAATCGCTGGTTGATCAAATGCAAGCAATTGCCATTGTTGATGAGAGCAATAATAGCCAATATCATTCGTCGAGTAGCAGGTAAAGATGATAATTTTTTGTATCATTTATAAAATGGAGTAGAGAAAAATGCAAAAGTTCTGGATATACTTAAATGGAGAATCCTACTGTCTGCGCCAATAATTAACTTATTTGTTTAATAATTAATATTAAGTACAGTACATAAAAACACTTGGTAGGTATGAATGGTTCTATGATAATAATTCTTGTATTAGTAGTCCCCTCCAAACACCGCCAGATACTCCTTCAAGCTTGATACCGGTAGTTTCGGCATCAAATTGTATAGTAACTTCCCATCGAAGCTTACCTTTGGAAAATAACCGAACAACGAGCGGAATGCCGCCCTATATGCCGCCCTTTCCAGGCCCCAATGAGAGTAGGACATCGCCGCCACCGCCGCCCCAGAACGCTTTCACATATCCTACTCAGTTTGCGCCAATTCCAAGGTACCTATACATCTAATAACAAATTAGTTTAAAATATATAAACATTATTATCTGTCAACAATCCATTGTTGCAGATTTTTTGCTAACGCAAATTTCCGGCCTCCTAGTACTGCTGTCTTTGGTCAGTTTGCACCTCAGCAGCAACCGCCCGGAGGTGGTACTGACAGCGGCGCCGTCGTCACACCTCCTTACCAATATCCCGTACCTTATTTATCCTTTATGTATTCCAGTTTTCCTCCTTTGCCGCCTCCGGCGTCAGCGGCGCCGCATCCAGGGGCGGCGGTTCGTACGCCGCCGCTCCCCGGGTGCTTCAATTGCGGCGCGCCAGGTCATTTAGGGCAGGATTGTACTCAGCACAACATCGACGATATTATTGTACAAAAAAATGTATACAGGTAAGCGATTAGTTAACACGTTGTAGATGGGGTTAATGACATTCACCTGAAACGTGTAATTTTTAAATTAATGAAAATAACGCACATTTGAGTGAGTCAGTTTAGCAGTGTCGGACTGGGGGTAATTTGGCTCAACGGGCAAATGGTGAAGTGGCTTACCCAACCCAAACCTCATTCAATAATAGGTAGTTGTTTATATTACTAGTACCGTATAAGTTTCATTACAGTAACAAGTGGGGAATATTAATAAGACGAGGTCGTAGACCGAATGGTGGTAATTACACGAGTGTTGTAATGAGCGTTACATTAATTTTTTTCGTCATTTTAAAAAGTGCCGTTTTTCAATAAAAATGGGTAACGTAATGAGCTCATTACATCACTAAGTACGATAATACAGCTTATTACGTAACTCAAATAGGCTAAAATTAGTTACGTTATAAGCTTTCACAGTGTGGGTGATACATAAAAACAATTTTGAAAATCATTTGTTGAATTTGTTACCTAGTTGTATCTACACATAAAAAAAGTAGGAACCTAGGTACTTGAGGTGTACTCCACATACCTGCTTATATTTTGTTATTATTTACCGATGTAGTACCTATGTAGTTTGTAGTTGTATATAATATTATAATGTATATAAGTTACCATAAACCCTGTATTTACAAACATTTAACATTAATGTAGGTGATGTCACATTATAAAATATCATCACCTTTTACTTTTTCATGTACGATCAAAAATAAAAAAGTTATAGGTGGTAGTACTTTATAACTTGACACCCTGTACACGTGTAACAATAATGTACACCAGCAACGTTTTGGTTAAAATGCTGGTATCTATATCAAAAGTGTAACACCAATAACGTATTTCATATGGGGAATTTACTCTGTTGACCTGTGGCTTTATTTTGGTATACAGAGCATCGGCGTAGGACGAATACAACTTACGGGATAGAAGTAAAATGAAAAAGATGTAACGTTAATGAAAAAATGGGTTAGGAGGGGAACGGGTTAAAATAAAACTCAAAGAACAATTTATCTTGTCATTATAGGTATATCATAATATCATTTTGGCGAACAACGAAAAAATTGAAAATATCTTTGGCGGCAAGAGTGTTAAGGAGATTCCCAGAAATCCAAGTAAATTTGAATAGATCTAAAAAATTCAAAAGGTATCTGAGAAGATCCAGGGGAGAATTTGGAATATTGTTAAAGATATTTGTAAACCAAGAGAGTATATGAAGAAGTTCCATAACGAGATACGAATATCAACTGAGAAGCTCCGAGAAGATTAAAGAGATATCTGAGTCGATTCAGGAATATTTTGAAATACTTTTTGAAGATATTTCGCCAGAAAAAAATTTCAGGGTAACCAGAGATATCAAGGAGATTCCCAAAAATCCAATTTAACTTGAGGAGATTTAAGGAAATTCAGAAGATATTTGTATCCTAAAAGGAGAAAGTTTGGACATATCTAAATATATTACAGATCCTAGGAAACTCAAAGAGAATCGAGTAAATTTGAATATATTCATGGGATATCCTAGAACAGTGATTCTCAAACTAGGTTCCGCGGAACCCCAAGGTTCCGCAAAGGGGCGATTGGGGTTCCGCAAGCAGTCAATTCAAAATTTAAAAAAAAAAACTACAAGTTTCAATCAAATAATGTTTTCCAAGGCGAGAAGAGTATTTTGATTGGGTTCACAATCCATTCTCACTCCAAGCAAAAAGTTTATTAATGTTGTCGCTGATGGATATCTTGAAACTACTTTTAACTTGGCTACTTCAATGAAGTTTTGGTTCCAGCTTAGAAGTGAATATCCAGAATTTGAGAATCAGCCAATTTTGCTGTTAAAAAATGGTTGCCATTTAGTACATCTAACCGATGAGAAATAGGGTGTTCGAAGTATGCTCTTACAAAAACCAACTTAAGAAGTAAACTAAGTCAGATATGCGGATACAACTTTCAAACATTGAACCTGATATCAACAAATTTTTATCAAAAGTTATTAATATATTATGTACCTAGTTTATTCTTACCTTTATTTTTTTTTTTTTTTAATTTACTCTTTATTTAGAAGTTCAATTAGTAGTAAGTATTAATGCCTATATTTTGACACAAAACCAAACATTATGTCTCATACTTAAGTACTTAGGATTAGGGGTTCCCTAGATAAAAAAAAAATGCACTCCAGAGGGTTCCTTAGTTGATAAAAGATTGAGAAACACTGTCCTAGGAGATTGCTTATTGCGTTCAGAAGAAAGAATATCCGAAGATATCAAGAGAAGCTCCTACAAGATTCAAATATCCCTGAGACGCTCAAAGAAGATTAAAGAGATATCTGAGGAGATCCTGGAAGATTTTGGAATACAGAGAAAGATTTTATGATATCCAAAGATATTAAGGAGATTCCCAGAAATTCGAGTTAATTTGAGGAGATTCAGAAGATATTTGAGAAGAAAAACTTTGAGATACTTGTTGAAAATATGTATACATATACCCAGAGTATAAAATTTAGAGATATCCAAAAATATTAAAGATTTCAGGAAATCTCAAGAAATTCAAGTAAATCTAGAAGATTGTTTATAGTGTTCCAAAGGAAGAATATCTGAAGATATCTGGAGAAGCTCCACAACAACATACGAGTATTAACTGAGGCACTCCAAGACGATTAAAGAGATATCTGAGGAGATTCAGAAGATTTTGAAATACTTTTCGAAGAAATTTTGTATACTAGAAATAGATTTTAGGATATCAATTAAAGATATTATGGAGATTCTTAAGTGAATTTGCAGAGATCCAAGGAGATTCAGAAATTTCGACATTTTATTATAGGAATTTTCAATGAAGATAATCATAAAGAAGCAATCATTACGTAATGAGTGCTGTAAATTATATATATTTTGAAAAAATCCAGGAGATAAGAATCTTAATATTCAACAGGTCATGATTCAGGTATTGTTTATCTATCAATTGACAAAAAATTGAGAAATAAAGAGAGAGCAGATTTAGGAATACTTGAGAAAACATTGGTGAATAAAATTATTCTTTTTACCATTATTGGTTCTTGAATTTTTTCTGTTATAGAAATTTCTATGAAAACAAAAGTTTAAATGGATAAAAATTGAGAAATCGAAAGAGGAAATTCAAGAAAAAAAATATGTATGCAGTTTACATCCGGTAGAAGTGAAAGCTTCATTGAACCGTTATACTAACATACATACGTACAACGCTTGGTACACAAGAGTGGGGAGGCTACGAAGCACCGCACAAAGTGGAGACGAAGAATAGGAAACGCTGTACAACTGTATTCTATTTCATTCTCTCGCAGGATAAATCCCATAAAATTATATGTTTGTCTCTTTTTAGTGTCGCTTTTTCGTTTCATCAAGTCTCAAATCACTCCCAACGATTCTAAAGAAGTTTTCACTTCAATAATTGAGATAATATGGACAAGAAAAATGGTTTTTCTTTATTTGGAGAAGTTTGAAGAAAAAAGAAATTCAAGAGCCTGGAATAGACAAACATTGGAACTGAAGAATTCAAAAATGAGGAGAGAAAATTTTAAATTTTAGAATGATAGAGGGATGATGTTATAGTAGACAAAAATTGAGAATGATGATCAATGGCGTGGGGAGTAAAATATTTTAATTTATTTTTATAAATATTCGAATGGCCTATTTGTCGAAGAGGTCATCTGGCCTACCAGGATTTTACCCGGTTGCCCGGTGGGCCAATCCGACACTGCAGTTTAGTATCGTAATTAAACAACATATATTGATGAATAGATGGCTGCGGAACTAAGTTCCGCAACTATTCACTCATTTGTACTTGAATAACTTGTCATATTATGTTACTAGTTTGGTAAAGTAACATTACTAATTCCTGTTGAAAGACGAATTGACAAAAAGTGAATAATCATAATCTTACAAATTTTGACTTTACCTACTTAATAAGTTATTGTTTAAATACAAATAAGTGGATTATTGCGGAACTTATGGGTGAACCTCTGCGGGACGAGCGCAGCGAGTTCCGCAGCCCGCAGCCATCTACTCATCAATATACTGTTGAACTATTCAAATAAGACACTCACCTGAAACTTGAAGTTTTTGTACTAATGAGAATAACTGACATTTGAGTGAATCAGATTAGTATCGTACTTGAATAACGTATTAATAAATAGATGACTGCGGAACTCGCTGCGCTCGTCCCGCAGAGGTTCACCTATAAATTTCGCAATATATTGATACCCCACCTATAGCCTTTACCATTACAAGTAGACGAAAGGTGTAAATACAAAAATTGTACAGTATTGGCGAAATTTTTAGAATCCATGATCAGAAACAAAAATTGAAAGTCAGAAATGTGAAATGTTGTATGCTTTCAGTTTTTTTCAAATGGGATGCCCTATATTTGGTTCTATATTCTTAAAGAGCACAATTTCCCGATTCCAAAACTATATTAGTTTGTCTATATTTGGTTGAGCCGTCTCCAAAATATTTTAAAAATTTTAAAAACACTATCAGAGAAAACAAGTACCTCAAATTTTACCTGCAGCTTTCACCTGTATAGGTAGAATGTTTCACAAAATCAGTAGTTGTAGTAGGATAGTATTTTTACAATTTTTGGAGCCGAATATATGAGAGACTGTTCAATAATCAAATATAGACAAACTATATATTTTTGGAATCGGGGCATTGTGCTCTTCAAGAATAGAATGAATTATAGGGCATCTCATTTAAAAACAGCTCGAAGCATGCAAAATTTCACATTTTTGTTTCTGACCATGGTTTCTAAAAATTCAGCCAAAACTGTACAATGTATTCACACCTTTTTTCTACCTGTAAAGATGATGTGTTAATATATAAAAAAAACACCCTATACCTCGCCTTATACCTACTTTTTTAAAAATCACCTTATTCTCCTAATCTTGCACAATGCGTTACCAAAACTAACCCAATCTGGCTTACTTTAACTTAAACTGCCCCCCTCCCCTTTCAAAAGGCCTGTATCCGCCCCTGAACATAACTAACTTAATTATTAACTGGACTATTATTGTAACAAAATAATGTTGTCAATTTCAGTGTGGAATTTAGTTCAGACAACTCGGACATTGAAAAATAACGAAGAGAGAACCTCATGAAATAGAAGAAAGTGCAAGAGAAAGAAGTGTGTATAAATAATTGTACCTATTAAGGTTTAGCAAGCGATAAGTCTGTCCGTTATATTCAATTTGTTTTGATATCGATCGAGACAAAAGAAATTTGAGAATTGGAGTTGGTATATTGAGAAGCGGATAGAGGCTGATTTTTTTGATAAACGAGAGACAAAAGATATTTTTTAAAATATTGTGATTTTATTAATTAATATTTACAGTAGAATTTTAAACCATAAAAATCAGCGCCTGTCTATAAATTAATAGAAAAAAGACCTTCAATTTTTGATGTTGCGCTGTGATTTTGGAAAAGTTAACGCATAATACTTGGTTTTATAATCAGTTTACAAAACTATATATATTTTTTTTTTTTGGAATCTCGCAGCTTTATATTGTTTTAACGAAGCTTTGGAATTGATTTTAGATACCAAATTGTTTACTTATAATAATGCCATATTAATTGTTCGTTTTAGCTTTTATTTTATACAACTTTTTTTTTTAAATATTTTAATTGTTTTATACCAAAACAAGAGCTGATTAAATCGCCATATTATTATTACAACTACTTTTAATTTATTATTATATTTTGTTGTGATTTTTGTTATAATTTTGTTTTAATATCAAATTAATAGGAGCGATAATTATTAACCACTAACCCCCCCCTGTACAAAATTATTTTTCAGACAAACTCGCATATATTTTGTGATAATTTTTTTTCGCCCTTGTATAAAAAATAATAGACACCAAAGCAATATTGTTGTTTTTTTGTAGGATAGCATAAAATTTTAGTGGCGAAATGTCCGCTCCTACTAAAACCTCTGTACATTATCATTAAGGTTCTACTGTAAATAAATAGCAACTACCTATAACAATTGAAGTTAATATATTGATATATTTATAATACGCAATCAGTACGACTGAACGTTTAACCTGATTTGAGATTGAATAAAAAGGAAGGTTTTTCTAACAAAAGGATTTTTTGTTTGAATTTAGTAATAATTGACAACATGGCAATAACAATCTAACAACGTTACATTAATTTGCAATTGGTTGTTATACAGGGTGTCCTTAGATAAATTAACACATTTTGCAGGTAGATATGTTCAAAAGAGGGAAAAATAACGAGATGTCGTTTGTTCTGGGGAGGATAAGGATTTATTAAAATTTTCATAGTATTGCGGAATCCTGGAGTTTGATGTAAATTTGAGGATTTGGCAATACTGCGAAAAAAAAACTTTAACATCCTTATTTTCCCAGAAAAAACCGCATTCCCGTTTTTTTTTCTTGTTTTAGAAATATTTACTTACACGGCAAAATGTCAGTTTATCTGATCTAAGGACACCAGCCGTAGTAAATGACGTCATATTCGGCGTTTGAAATTATCAAGAACCCTGATAAAACTTCAAAGTCTGTTCTCAACAAGTGAAAATCAGTCCCATAGACGTTAATACGTCAACTGCAACTTGGCATTTTTAAGAATTGTGAAGTTGATACCCTGTACATACAGTAGTCAATTGACTCTATAGATTGGGACTTGGGACACCTGAATCGCCAGGACATAACAGGAGAGCTATGTGGATTTAAATTATGAAAAACTGACAAGAATGACAGGAGTTAAATTTAGTTAGCAGCAGAATTGGTTTAGGGCGGGTATTATAAAACTACTTTGAGAGTTAACTTAAAGTTAACTTCTGAAAATACATGTAATTCAAAAAGTTAACTTAAGTTAACTATCAAAGCAGTTTTATAATACCCGCCCTAAGAAAGACTGCATACTGGGTAGCACCCAGGATATTTTTGAACTACCGTGAAAGTCAACTGGAGTTTATACCAATTCATTTTTAAACGATACAGGGTGTTTCTTTGAAAATCAGTTAGTAATTTTATTTCTAAACATCGCATGTCTGTAAAACCAAATTTCAGGATTTAACAATACTGTGAAAAAAAAAACTCCGCATCCCTTTATATTTTTTTTTGTTTTAGAGATATTTAGTTATGTGGCAAAATATATCAGTGTATCTTAGAACACCCTGTAGTGTAGCAAAAAGTATACTAGTTTCGGGATCTACGCACATATATTTTAGGCTTTGCGCAGAATCGCGATCGTACAGTGGCAGCCATTGGAATTGGCATAAACTTTTTGAACACACCTCCTATATTGCATCAAAGTCTGACTTTTCTAAAGGCCGTTTTACAGCTTGCAAGAAAACTTGAATGCCATTTATTGCATGCAAAAAAATTGCATTCAAGATTTCTTGCACGTCGTTTTACACCTTGCAATTTGACTTGTTTCTTTCTCTAACCTTATTCATACTTTTTTGTTTTTAACGTTGTGTTGTTGATGTTTGCATTTTCCAAAAATAGAAAAAGTGATTATAAGTCGATATGAAAAGAAGAAAGCAATAGCAGCAACTTTAGGCATCATAATTGCTAAAAATTCCCCAGCTTGCACGAAAACCTTCAAGAAAAATGGCACCAAACCGATTGCATGCAATGCCATTCAAGTTTCGAGAATCTTGCAGAATCCAATCAGCTGACTCACTTCTGCGCATGCCCTCGTTCAAGTTTCTTGCATATTGCAGGAAGAATTGCAAGCTGTAAAACGGCCTTAACAAGTCTTGGATAAAATTTTGGTGTCAAGGTGCCACGACTAGGACATCTACATTTCTATAAAAGCGTAAAAATACAGTTTTGCAGGGGCGGCCTGGGTGAGAGGCCTGGCCCGATACCGATAGCCCCTCCCCCTAGGGCCCCTAGGTACGCCACTGTATTAGGAAAATGCATGTACCAGTTTTAATTGGCCAAGTGTATAGCTGTGGCTATCGGAATTTGGCAATCCAAATCACGTGATTTATTATGGCCATTCAGGTCAAATTGTGGTGTGGTGACGTTTATAAAAAAAAGCATTTGTGTTCTGGCCCTTATTGATGTAGGTAGATGCCAAACATGACAATGGCAATAGTGCGTAAAGTAATTCACTTCACACACTAGTGCGTAAAGTGATGTCAATGGCAGATGTCGACACTGTCAATTGAGTATTTTTCTGGTAAATTACTTCACACACTAGTGCGTGAAGTGAAATTGCTACACACACTAGTGCGAAAAGTATTTGTCTAAATCTATTTTTTATACATATTTAATTGGTAGAAGAAAACATTTTATATTCAATACGTGCGTAAAGCTCCTTTTTTCACTCATGTGATTGTCGCACTCGCCTTCGGCTCATACGTCAAAATTCACATTCGTGAAAAAAGGATCACTTTACACACTTGTTGCATAAGTAACGATTTCATTGATTTTTATCAGTAACCTGAATGTAAACAACACGGTGTTTGACCTGAACTTCCATAAAGCCAAAACTCTGTAACCAACAAAAGTAGTCAGTGGTGTAGTGTGTACCTCATTAAAGTATCTACTGTTCTACTGTAGCTCACCTGTTCACCATCAAGGAGAATACACACTCTAAGGAGTGCTTATCGGCCACGTTTTTGGTTATCGCCGCCATATTGGTTTTCAACTGTTTTCAATCATTGCCGACGTCATAACTAAGTCGTCAGCTGTTTGAACAGTCTACATCAAGGGGAGAAACGCCATGCTGTTTACGTCACAACTGGTTGTTTGGCGTTGGAGGTAGGGGGAGATTTGTTACACACAAGCCTTATGAGGCTAGGCCATCCTGTAGTAGTGTGTATCATTCTTGGTTCACCACGGACTTATCACTTCGACATTAGAGAATTATTGGATGGATTTTTGATGATACCTTATTTTCAGACCCATTTGCGCATGCGTAGATGTTAAAATAAGGCTAATTTAAATACTGCTTGTCTTTGTTGCACGTCCAATAACTCTCTAATATATTTTGGCAACACCGGCTGATTGAAAAGTCCAGATTTTAATGTAATATGAAGTGTGTTCACTACACTACTACTACTACTACAGGATGCCGGATGGCCTATAAGGCCTGTGTGTAACAAATCCCCCAAGCTAAAATACCAGTTGTGACGTAGGCAGCATGTTATTTCTCGCCTTGATGTAGGTTTCTTGACGTCAGCAATGGTGGCGATTACCAAAAACGAGGCCGATAATAAGGATAAGCATAAATGAAAAAAAGACACAGAACGCTTATTGCGCAAGACGAAACAAAAAATTTGAGAGGCAAAACGTAACGTACTAAACTATGTTAGACTTACGTATAGCAATCTGTCTTTCTTACTTGCACGGGATAAAAAGGCAAGGAAAAAGAGCGCATGTTATACAATAACGTATTATCCGTTCACAATCCGATGTCCACAGGTAGGTACAGGTAAAATCAATGCTATTTCATAGGGAAAGATGATAAATTAACCTGCACCTGTGGAACAGAGGATATATTTGTCAATAAAAATTTCAAACAATTTTTGAATGTCACTTGTCAACTTATGTCAAGTTGCCTCATTGCCTAAAGTCTAGTACTCATAACCGCGATATTCGCTCTTTTTTGACATTGCTTCGACAATTTGACGTTTGATTCACGCATAAAACGTCAAATTGTCAAAGCAATGTCAATAAAGAACGAATTTCGCTGTTATAAGTACTAGGCTTTATACTTTTATTGTTAACCAATGAACTATAGCCAAAAACTGGAATGCGCACACATGCCATATCCGCCAAAAAAATGAAGCCATGCAAAAGACCGATGTCACAAGGGGGAATGTTGTTCTTTTCTGTTGCTCGCTGACATATGACGTTTTGGAAAGTTTTGTTATATTCACCTATACAGGTTTTATCAATTTTAATACTTGTTGAAAGCAATTTCTGCCATTTAACGTAATGAGTGCGAGAAAAATAGGTATCCCCTCCGCAGCAGCGGCACACAGGCTAACCGCGGAATTACAGAAGCTCTGCAACACCAAGATAGAAATACAGGACCTCCAAGTCTGACATTTCTTTTTATATAAAAGCAGAATGTATTTGCAAGTCGCTTACTCCTACTGCAAATTTGCGCATGGTGAAACGGTCCTGTAAGTCGTTGCAATCACTTTCATAACTTTGACATTTAAAACTGGTAAATTTCAAAGGATAATAATCAGTAACGCCCAAACATTTTTTTTTCGATAAATGTGACGGAATTGCAGCTTTTTTTCTGTACTTTGCTGGTTTCTGCAAATAGAGCACACATGCAAGTCGGCCATATTTGCAGAACTGCAAACTTGCAGATGCAAATATACTGTAACTGGACCCCAAATATCTGAAGTTCCTTTCCATTTGTCAAAAAATCGCTCAATGGACAGGGGCAGGGATGTGCGTCTACACCATAGAGTCTACACGTAGACTTTCATTAGACACTTGTTAGACAAAATACGTTAACGCTAACGTAAGATTTGACAGCTGCGCATGCGCAGTTTCTTTTCACCAAAAATAGCGCGTTACGTGTCACGTTTAGCGGGTCTTTACATACCTTATCCGTAAACGTTCGTTAAACCAAGTGGTCCCGAAAGCCAGATTACCGGTGTCGACCTTTGCCAAATGTATTTTCACCAGTGGCGGACCTAGGACCTTTGGGGCCCGACGCAAATTTTTTTTTTGGGGCCCTGTCATGCTATTTTTTAGGTATTTTTCCTGTAGTGTTCAGTGGCGATGCGTGACCAGTAGTCTGGGGGGGGGGGTAAATGGTACGGGGGGCTGAGGGGGCGCCCTCTAAAAACGCGCCGCTGGCGAAATTTTTCGCAAATTTCAAGGTCATTCACTTTTCCAGAACAATTATTTCGTTTGTGAAAAAAAAAAAAAAAACAGAACAAAAATGTATTTTCTTCAATATATTATGTATTTTCTTTTTGGCATCGTGATTTTTCTCTTGATAATTCGATCCTGGGGGGGTGGTAATTACCCCCAGTACCCCCCCGACGCGACGCCCCTGGTAGTGTTGGGGTGTGAGGTGAGTGTACGGAAGTTAGGTATTTATATTTTTGAAGTTTTTAACAACCAAATATAGAAACAAATTTAATCAAAAAACAAGTTTGTCAAGAACATATGAGACAGAAAACAAGTCGAACGAAAAAAAAAAATTGTAAAAATTCAGGAACTTTTTAATTAAACAAAAAGAAATACAACATAGTAGTACCGCACTGCATTGATTCTGCCCGTACTCCACCGACAAGTGCCATAAATTATCTGAGTCTGGAAGAGATTGCAATAGGCAATTTTTTGCGAGGATAAACAAGCATAATCTTTTGCTGGATTATATGATGTGTCATTTGTGTCATACGTCATACTCCCCTACAGGGATCTTCCAAACTGCACAATTGAGAATATTGATGCACACTTTCAATTTATATGCACAGTATGCACCCCAATCTCTAGATATGCACAATTTGATTTCTAGAATAAATACGTCACAATTTTCCAGTTAACAAATAGATCACAAAATATTCTGAATTTGAGTTTTCATTCCAGTAAATTTGTACTGAGTGTAAGTACACTGTACTTTATACATACTCCCATACTCTTCACTCTACACTCAGTACACTCTACGTACGCCACCAAGGATGATACACACTACACACTACTGTACTACACTACTATAAAATGGCCTATCCTCATAAAGCCTAGTACTGATAACTGCGAAATTCGCATTTTTTTGACATTGCGTTGACAATTTGACATTTTATGCGTGTATATCGAACGTCAAATTGTCGAAGCAATGTCAAAACAATGCGAATTTCGCAGTTATGTGTACTAGGCTTCAGGCATGTGTGGAACAAATTCCCCTTCTTCTCCCCAAGCCAAATCACCAGTTATGACGTGGGCAGCATGTTATTTCCCGCCTTAACGTAGGTTGACAACTTAGTTATGACGTCGGAAGACTACCAAAAACGAGGCTGATAAGCTGGCTGACTGTTGTTAATCGACAAGGGGCCATAGCAATTTGGAAGAAGAAGAAGAAGAAGAAGAGGAGGCCGATAAGCAATCCTGTAGGTGTTTATCATCCTTGGTACGCCACTGCCCAGCCGGCCCCAGCCCAATCCAGCTTGCTCGACAATCGACAATGAAAATAGAAAATTATTGGCAATCGGAACTGGAAACGTTGTAAAAATAAACATACATATTGGCAACCGGCAACATTGAAAAGCAAAACAAAGGGGATGCACATTTTGTGTCAGATATGCCCACTTTTTATACTGTCAAGTGCACATTTACAAATTCTCTCGGAACATCCCTGCTCCCCTAACTCCCCCACCATCAAATTCTGGGATAATCGAGTGCCAAGAACACCTAATTGCTTCTGTGAGAACAAACCAAAAATCATCTTTTCTACATTTAAAATCGACGAAAAGATTAACTCACTAGCACAGCCTGAATCGAAAGCATTTCATCAAGGTCTGCGTGTGACGTCATCACTACAAACTGCTGATAGTGACGTCACTCGCAGGCCCAGAATTTGATGTAATGTCTGCCCAGCGAGTCTGTGTCTACGGGGCAACAGTAAGGGGAATGCAGTTGTAAAAAAAAATGGCTGATTTCAATCATAAAATACCCAGCTGCGTGCGGAATTTTTTGCAAGGGTTATCGTATTGCAACTTATACACGAAAATCAGCAATGACCAAATCTCCGCCACTGGATATGTCAATATAAATCGATATTCCAAAATGGGAGGATAAAATGACGTGAGTCCTGGCGAGAAGTAAGGTGACGTTAGCTCATTGACAACTGTATGGTTCCCCATGACAACGGCGATCCTGCCAAAAACTCCACCAATCAGGTTCATCCAGGACGGATGCTCGCCAAATTGTCAAAAGCTGATGGTATCTTCAAAAAATGTTTATTTTTTACAATAGACCAAACTGAAGAAATCAGGATTAAAATAAGGATAGATCTAACAACTGCGTTAAAATATTTATCGTTTTATTATTGTTATCAATATTTTGTTATCAAGAAATGTATTTTCAAATTAACTATACTTCATGTCTAGTATTTTCGCTTTTTCATAATTAAACGTGGCAACATGGCACATTTACGTCCGAATTCCTTCCGTAGACTCAGATCCGCTGGGCAAACAATAGAGGGAGTTAGGGGAGTATGATACAATTGACACATCACATAACCCAGCATAATCAGATTATGCTTGATTATCCTCGCGAAAAATTGCCTAATAGCTAAAAAAGCCGCGTAAACTCGACGCGTCCGCGGTTGCCGCATCGCGTCGAGTGCATCAGGGTTGGGATTATGACATTCTACTAGAATTCTACTTTCATGACGTCAGGTTGCCTAGCAACTGTCATCATCGCCTGTAGTATACGGGATAAATCTATTCCGAATGACGTCATGAAAGTGGAATTCTACTTGTCATGATTCCAGCCCTGGATTCCCTACAGGGCCTTTATTGTCGAAACAGGAGATAAGCGTTCTGTCTTAGTTGTCCATATTTCTATTTCCATAACACTGACAAAGACGGAGCAATCGTTCTTTCTCGTGAGAACGCTGTTCCCCGGTTTCAAGAATAGGCATCCTGGTATACAACGTTGCCGTCACTTTCAAAATTTAATTTTCGATTATTTTTTTATATCTTAACACGAGTTTTTTTTTTATTCGTTTTTATCGGTCCCTTTAGAATCTGGTTATGTGGGGGCCCCTCAGCTCTGGGGGCCCGACGCAGAGTGCGTCGTTTGCTTTATGCTAGATCCGCCACTGATTTTCACCTTAAAAAAAAGTTGTCACATAATTCAAAATAATCAAAATAAAAAAAAAAAATTCTAATTTGTCCTTTTCACTTTTCACAACAAAATTTGAAGGTTAGGTTATGATTGTGAGATATAGCGTTAAGGTTTACGTGAAAATTTAACTTAAACTGGTTTGTGAGCACCGACGGTCACTCGACGCTATAGTAAAAAATAGGGTTTACGTTTAAAGATTACGTTAACGTGTTTGGTCCAACTTAAAGTGTCTAATCAGGCCTATGATGTATCCTCTCCTGTTATTTTAACAGTTGTGTTATAGCTCGAAATCTATACCTGTCTCTATTTTTACGTGTAGAATAAACAGTGACAGATAACTTAACGTTGCTGTTAAAATAACAGAGAATGATACATCATAGGCCTGAATGTCTACTTTACGTGACGTAAACAATTCGAATTGTCTACGAGTAGACAATCAATTGTTTACGTTGGTCTACAGGCACATCACTGGACAGGGGGTCGAATAATACCTGTTTCAAAAGAACGTTCAATTTTCTTTTGAATAACATCAAATCATCAAATGGAAGATAATTGAACTCTTTTAAAAGAAGTATCACTCGACCCCTTGTTCCATTTGAAATAGTAAGGGTTGGTCCCACCGCGCCCAGAGGCTTACTAAAAATGGTTGCAGACAACTTTGCTATTTGAAAATCATATTACGTGTACGAGCAATTTTTAAAAAAAATAAACGTGTCACGTGGCATTAGATATTTGTGTCGTTCTCAATGGGTGCATTTTGGCGGTCCCAGCGGCTAAGCTCAGCCACTCAGCAGGGACTTTATTCTCGAAACCGAGCAACAGCGTTCTCATAAGAACGACTGCTCTGTCATTGTCAGTATTATGCCGAACGACAAAGACAGAACCTTTGTTCCAATGAGAACGCTGCTCCTGTTTCGAGAATATAGTTCCTGCTCTGAGTGGCTGAACTAAGCCGCTGGGACCGCCTGAATGGGACACCCTGTATTTGTACAAAGGTCAAAAATTATACAAATCAATAGCAAAAAACCACAAAAAACATGTATTTGCGTCACTTTCTTTTACATGCTAGTAGAAAAAGACACAAATACAATCAGTGTATAAACTGAATCTCAAGAGTAGTCGCTGAAGAGTCCATGGAGAATTCGCCGTTGCTAAATGTTTCATTCAAAATAGCGGCATATTATAGTACAATTAGTACAGCCTTGGATCAGTACAGCATTTATTGAAATACTGTTGCAAATAGTATAGACTCTTGTCCACCCATACGAAAATGTAAATACCATTTTCTTAATTGACAAATACCATTTCCTATTTTTGTCCATCTGGCAACACTGCACGAGATACACGTCACCTCGACAACGACAACAAAGTCTGAAACCTCTAACCTCAATTTTTCAAAAAATAAACCCCGATCCAAATAATGTTTAGTAGACTTTAAAAATAGCTTATTTATTCGATAAATAAATTATAAGTCAAAATTCAACGATGTGCATCACAAGGACGTTTCTCCTAGCGTTTTTCTTAGCGTTTTGTTTGATAAATCTAGCAAGTTCCCATAGTCATAGTCATGACCATCACGAGCACGACGAACCAAACCCTTCATTTAAATATTCAAGGGTGGCTAACGAAGAGGCGAAAAACACAGCCCGAGAACAACAAAGGCACGCTAAACCTAAACCGACACCCTGGAACGCTAACGAGATTTGGTTGTACGCTATGAGCTCTACATTGCTTATCAGTGCGGCGCCATTTTTCATATTGTTTTTGGGTAAGTTTTAGTATACTTAGTATATAAGAGTGGTCTCTTTGCAGACATTTTGTTGTCAGCAAACCAAGCACCACAGATTGACAATGGATAAATCTTTCTGGAGAATCTGACAATCTGAGATTCTCCAGAAAGATTTATCCATTGTCAATCTGTGGTGCTTGGTTTGCTGACAACAAAATGTTTCTGAATGTCAGTAAATGCTCCTGTGTAACATACACAAGGCTTTGTCAGTATCTAAAATCTGGATTCTGAAGTGTTTGCAAGAAGGGACCACTATGAAAACCTGGGAATCACTTTCCAATTCAACAACAATGAAATTTTATTGGCACTATTAGTCATGGCAAGGGAGAATATTACCAAGAGGTAATATTACGTCACCTGTGGGGTAATATTACCAAAACGAGAATTTTGAACCGGTAATTTTCTCAGTAAGTTTCCATGTAATATTCTCAGGAATATTACGCTATAATATGTTGTACGGAATCTGAAACGTTTACCGATTTGGCAGAACCAGGCTGGGATGGAGGCATAGTTTGATAGCAGGAAACTGTACAATGTACACTCAAGCTTAAAAATGCATAGAATCCGGAATTCGTATACAGAAATAAAAATAGTTTCTAATTGTTCTTGGGACAGTTTTTGACATGTTGGAACCGAGATTGGAACAGACCTATAGTAATTTTTTCAAAGCTATATGACCTCTATATGGCTTCTGCTTTGACTAAATATTAAAGCATACTTAAATGAACTAAAACTAATCATTAATTTATTAATTACATAACTTAATTTTTAGATTAAGAGAAAAAATTAAATTGGTAATTTTGCTTTAACAAGCATTGAAGAATAATATAATTATTATAAATTCATAAAAATTAAGTCTCCATATACATAATATGTCACTGCCACTTTTACTTTGCTTTATTTTGAAAATTACCAAAAATTATCGTAAATTACCGTAATTTACCTAATGTTCTTACCAAATTATAAATTACCGGTAATTTGCCATCACTAGGCACTATCAGAGAATTGTTAACAAGGCCTTGGGTTCCATCACTAGAAATACCAAACATTTTCATAGAATTAATATCTTGGTAAAGCTCTATAATGCCTTTGTCAGGTCCCACTTGAAGTATGTATGTATGTAGTATCTAGTCACCTACATCTGACTGCAATAGAGACCTGATAGAAAGAGTTCAAAATATGTTTGTATTCCAAACAATATCATGTACATCTTATATTTCCTCTGCTAGTGTCATATGGATAAGTATGTTGGAGACAAGGGGCAAACCACCTAGGAATTCTTTGCCAAACATGTGGGGAATTTAGAGGAATTTGTGGGGAATTTGAAGGAACTCATCTGAGAATTGTTGTTGAGAATTTATGAAAATTTTGGGAATTTATAGGGAATTTGGAAGAATTTATGAGAAATTCAGGAGAATTTGTGAGGAATTTGGAGGAAATTGTCAAATTTAAAAAATTAGGCTGATTTCCAAGATTTTTCATGTTATTATTTTCAACTGGAAAAATTTGAAATTTTGAAAAAATGAGCTTCTCACCTTCCTATTTACATGCAAAAAATTTCAAAATTTTTCCCTTCACTAGTTTTCCAGGAAAACTTTGGAATGTGTGAGACTATATTTTCAACTAATGCAGTTTGTGTAGGTTGATTTCCTCGTTAATTTCCAAGATTTTTCATGTTGCTGTTTTCCACTGAAAAAAATTAAATTTTGGGAAAATGTCAAATGATGTTTTCACCTTCCTCTTTATATGCAAAAAGTTTCAAAATTTTCCCTTTTCTAGTTTTCCAGGAAAACTTTTAAATATGTGAGACTGTATTTTCAACTAAGTAATTCAGTTATTGTAGGTTGATTTCCAAGATTCTTCATGTTGTCATTTTTTATTGGAGAAATTTGAAATTCTGGGAAAATGAGCTTCTAACCTTTCTCTTTACATGCAAAAAGTTTCAAATTTGTCCGTTCACTAGTTTTCCAGAAAAACTTAGAAATATGTGAGACTGTATTTTCCACTAATTCAGTTTTTGTAGGTTGGTTTCCAAGATTTTTCATGTTGCTGTTTTGTACTGGAAAAATTTGAAATTTTGGGAAAATGAGCTTCTCACCTTCCTCTTTACATGCAAAAAGTTTCAAAATTTTCCCTTTACTAGTTTTCCAGGAAAATTTTGAAATATGTGAGACTGTATTTTCAATTAATTCAGTTATTGTAGGTTGATTTCCAATATTCCTCATGTTGCTGTTTTCCACTGAAAAAATTTAAAATTTTGGGAAAATGAGCTTCTCACCTTCTTCTTTACATGCAAAAAGTTTCAAATTTCTCCCTTCACTAGTTTTCCAGGAAAACTTTGAAGTATGTGAGACTGTATTTTCCACTAATTCAGTTTTTGTAGGTTGATTTCTAATATTTTTCATGTTGCTGTTTTCTACTGGAAAAATTTGAAATTTTGGGAAAATAAGCTTCTTATACCTTCTCCTTTACATGCAAAAAGTTTCAAAATTTTCCCTTCACTAGTTTTCCAGGAAAATTTTGAAATATGTGAGACTGTATTTTCAATTAATTCAGTTATTGTAAGTTGATTTCCAATATTCCCCATGTTGCTGTTTTCCACTGGAAAAATTTTAAATTTTGGGAAAATGAGTCTCTCACCTTTTTCTTTACATGCAAAGAGTTTCAACATTTTCCCTTTCCTAGTTTTCCAGGAAAACTTTGAAATGTATGGGAGTGTATTTTCAACTAATTCAGTTTTTGTAGGTTGATTTCCAAGATTCCTCATGTTGTAATTTTTTACTGGAGAAATTTGAAACTTTGAGACAATGAGCTTCTAACTTTTCTCTTTACATGCAAAAAGTTTCAAATTTGTCCCTTCACTAGTTTTCCAAAAAAACTCAGAAATGTGTGACACTGTATTTTTAACTAATTCAGTTTTTATAGGTTGATTTCCAAGATTTCTCACGTTGTAATTTTTCACTGGAGAAATTTGAAATTTTGGGGCAAAGAGCTTCTAACCTTTCTCTTTACATGCAAAAAGTTTCAAATTTCTCCCTTCACTAGTTTTCCAGAAAAACTTTGAAATATGTGGGACTGTATTTTCAATTAATTCAGTTATTGTAGGTTGATTTCCAATATTCCTCATGTTACTGTTTTCCACTGGAAAAATTTTAAATACTGAGAAAATAAGCTTCTCACCTTCTTCTTTACCTGCAAAAAGTTTCAAAATTTTCTCTTCATTAGTTTTCCAGGAAAATTTTCAAATGTGGGAGACTGTATTTTCATCTAATTCAGTTTTTGTAGATTGATTTCCAAGATTTTTGATGTTGCTGTTTTCCACAGGAAAAATTTGAAATTATGGGAGAATGATCTTCTCACCTTCTTCTTTACATGCAAAAAGTTTCAAAATTTTCCTTTTTTTTTAGAGGAATTTGTGGGGTATTTGGAGAAGTTCGTGGTAGGGTATTTGGAGGAATTTGTGATGGAGTATCTGGAGGAATTTGGAGGAATTTGCAGGAATTTTGAGGAATTATGTGTGAAAAATTACCCTTTGAGGAATTGTTTGCACCAATTCTGGGATGGTGGTTTATCCCTTGGTTGGAGACCTTCAAGCTTCAGTATCTTAGTAGGAGAAGGGCAGTTCAATCCTTACTTTTGATTTTCCATATAGTCAATAATACTAAATATACAGATTGTGAATTTATTAATTTAATCAAATTTCATGTTTCTAAAATTCACCTTAGACTAAGGAACTACAACATTTTTGTGATTACCCAGTTAAGTTGCTCAATGCTGAGCCATATCCTGATAGACTAGCAATATCTTAGAGAAGTGTAACATAGATATTTTCAATACAATTGTTGCCTCAATTAAAAAATTGTCTAAAGGATAATACACAATTATTGTTTAAGTTTTAGCAGCCCCCTTACTTGTAACTATCTATAAATATTTGTAAGGTGTATTTAAAATAAAATAAAATATTAGTTCAGTAATCTGGAATCTGGTTCTTTTAGTTCCTCTAGATGGTGCAGACAAAAACGCTCCTCTCCTCAAAATCCTGCTAGCTTTTGCATCAGGAGGTCTTTTGGGAGACGCTTTTTTGCATCTAATACCCCATGCTACCATGGCTGTCCAAGGTAACGAAGACCATCATCATGGACATGGGCATAGTCATGGTCATGGAGAAGAAGAGCACATACACGACATGTCTGTTGGTCTGTGGGTTTTAGCAGGAATTGTTGCCTTTTTGATGGTTGAGAAAAGTGTTAGGATTTTGAAAGGGAAACATGGACATTCTCATGCACCGCAACCAAAACAGGAAACGAAGAAAGAAAATGACAATAAGAAGGGGAAAAGTGAGAAGAAAGGTATACAATATCAATATTTTAGGAGTCAATTTTAAGAAAAACTTCATAAGTCTGTTTTCACAGAAATCACAAAGCAGTCAGTTGCGATTTATACCAATCAAAATTTCAAAAATAAATGTGGTATAATATTGAAAAATTCCTTTTAATACCTAGTACATAACATATGATAAATTTTATTAAAATATCTAATGCAATGTTAAATGATATTTATTTTTCAAATCCTCATCACCCTGTATTAGAACAAACATTATTGTAAAGTTTTCTTCTTAAAATGGACCCAATAATCATCTCCCTAAATATAAACATTCAACTAGAAAACACCCTGTATTGAAGTTTTGAAATATTGTCACATTGTAAGTTTTTTATTCCAGAATCTAAAGTAGTTCCTAAAGAAGAAATCAAAGTAGCAGGTTACCTAAACTTGGCAGCAGATTTCAGCCACAATTTCACTGATGGTCTGGCAATAGGCTCTTCATATTTGGCAGGAAATACAGTCGGTATAGTAACCACAATTACTATACTTTTGCACGAAGTGCCTCACGAAATTGGAGACTTTGCCATTTTGCTACAAAGTGGTATTAGTAGGAGAAACGCTATGCTGTTGCAGTTGACTACTGCTTTAGGAGCTCTTGCAGGTAAGAATTTTCAACTCAATTTAATAGAAAACCATAAGAAAAATTCTTGAAATTCAACTTTTATGCATCATGAAATTTTTGTCATCACACATAACTATTTTTTCCAGGTACTGCTCTTTCTCTGCTAGCTCAAAACAGTGCAGGTGCGATGGCGGCATCCTGGATTCTGCCCTTCACAGCTGGCGGCTTCATTTACATTGCCCTAGTGTCAGTTATTCCTGAACTTTTGGACGAAGAAAAACCAACTATTAAACAAGCTCTATTGCAAATTTTCGCCATGTTGGTCGGAGTGGGCATGATGGTTCTAGTAGCGCAATTTGAATGAGAAAAGGTAAGGCTCAGTAATAAAAACAGATTTTGAGCTGTTGGGGTTTTAATTAATTCAGTACTTACTCTGTTCCATGTCATTGCATGCTTTCACAACAGCTCAATATTGAAAAATATGGTCTATTAAGTATAACATAAATTAATTTGTATTTTTGTTTTAAATAAAATAATTTGGTAATATATTTTCTTATTTTAGTGACTTCTATAGCTCTGTTCTAAGTTCCAACGGACATGAGAACCGTTCTAGAACCAGTTGCTCACCTATTTTCTAATAAGTTGAACAGTTATTCCACTTGACAAATGAATTGATCAACTGGAAATTACTGTTCTAGAACGGTTCTCATGACAATTGAAACAGAGCTTATGTGTTCCTATTCATAGATAATTTGTTAATGAACATTATTTAATTAAAAGGTAGGTGAATCAAAAAGTAACAGTAGTAAAGTTTTATTTGTCTAACTAATGAAAACATCTGTTGATTTTAATAAAATAAATCGATTAGGCCAAGTTTATTCACTCTCTGATAAACTGTCAGGTATGCAATGTGGTAATTCCATTGAGTGCTGACTAATAGAATTATAGAAGGGTCACTATCGTGCAAATAGTTACCAGCAAGTTTATCTAAAAATAAATAAACCAGGCATTTTAAATAAATTAAAAAATAATTAATTTTAAAAAGGACACTTATTATATACATAGATAAAATACTTGAGTCTCAAGCAACTCCTTCTAAGTAAGGTGAAGCAAAATTGCGTCCATTAACAGCTCCATAACTATGACTGTAAGGTCCCAAGCTCAAATTGATAGAATCCCTTTCGGGCCAAGCTTGACTCTTGTAGCTGTTACAAGCTATCAAACTATTCATAGCCGGAGGCCTGGATTTCTCAATCGAAATCCCATTGCCTATAGACCTCAAACTCCTAACACTATCCTCGCTTTGACCTTGACTCTGAGTAGTTTCAATGACATCTCCGTTGGGTATTTTCTCTTCTTTAATTTCAATGTAGCCGGTAGGTTTCTTTGATGCTATCATGTAGGCAACAGTGACTATGCCTACTAGGGAATGTATGACTACGATGAACATTGAAGCGTTGCGAAAACCAATGGTGTCGTAGAGAATACCGGCTATGGATGGACCAATGAAAGCGCCTAGAGCGAAGGTGCTTGTCCAAAGGCCTGATACTAAAGCGTAGGTTTCCAAATCGTTGGGAAATCCATATAGACTAAAGAGGAATAATTATTGTATTAGTTTCATTTGTTATTAATGACATTTTAACACGGCATTTCAGTAATAAACTAATGTTTGTTGTTTTCATAAGACCCCCATGGGCCAGGAGAGGTGAAGGAGGATCATGGTGGGGATACATTAGAGGTATAAATAAGTCCCGCCTTCTTTTCTGAACACGTCATTCGCTTGACCAAAATAATGATGGGTGCAACTTGCTTATCTCTAATTCATATGATATACGTAACAATTTGGCAACTTGATTGGAGGGGACAAACCGGAGGTGGATGGCTCTCCTAAATTTTGGCGACATAAAACTTTGTTTATTCTGATGTCTATCTGTGTTAATATGTCATTCAAGGCAATGCGTTTTCAAGACCAAGGATGATACACTGTACTACTACAAGATGGCCTATCCTCATAAGGCATATGTGTAACAAATCCCTCGCCTTCCCAAATTACCAGTTGTGACGTAGGCAGCATGTTATTTCTCGCCTTGACGTAGGATGTTTAAACAGCTGACGACTTAGTTATGACGTCGGAAATGGTAACACACCAATATGGCCGCAATTATCAAAAACAAGGCCGTTATCAATCCTTAGTATGTGTCAGAGATGTGAGGGAAATAGAATGCCGATTTTATGGTAACGCATAGGGTGCCGCCATTTTTATCATTTTTTACTTATGCCGTTTCCGATTGATAGATCCAGTGCACTTTTTTTCATTTCTATCTTTTTCTTCTACAGGTTGATGAAAAAGGATGAAAATACACTCAATGCGCATTAAATCTACCAATAGGAAACAGCCATTAGTTTTTACATTGACAACTTCAATCTGACAGATTTTTCACAACATAACCTAACTTTTGGTCGGTTACAGACAATGAAGTTACAGAAGTTTATTGGTTACAGACTCGGTTACAGATTGTTGTTATTGGCGATTTCTCCTACTTTTTGTGAGATATTTTTATCAGAGTCGTGTTTTAAAAGATTTCTTTTTGTGATTTCTACTTATTTTTGGAGTTATGAGTTGTTTTTCCAACACCCGAATTTGACAAGTGATAAAAAATGGCGGCCGTTCAAATTCGGCCAGTTGCGCAGGATGGACCCTTATTCTATTCTAACCAACAACTCTCCCATATCTCTATTCTCTGGTATGTGTGTATCATCCTTGGTAGTTGGCAACACTGTTTGACAAACGACAAAGTAGGCTTTGGGAAATTTTAAAATTTGAATTTAGCGCCCTGTAATACCGACATCGTAATACATACATGTTTCCAAAGCCTACTTGGTTTGATAGAAACTCGTAGGGTTATTTCAATCACAAGCTCGTAGGGCGAGGGTTCTTTAATTACGAGCCCGCAGGGCCGGGGTCTTTTTAAATTACGAGTCCGAAAAACCGGGGTCTTCTTACGAGCCCAAAGAGCCAGGGTGATTTTAAATCATGAACCTGTAGGGCCAGAGTCTTTTTAAATCACAAATGTATAGGAGGGCGAAAAGCAAGGATTTTAGTCTAGTAATATGCACGAATGTTTATAAAACTACGGCCCTTCGGGCCGAGCTCGTATAACTCCGGCCCTTCGGGCTCGTATAATCTCGGCCCTTTGGGCTCGTAATTAAAATAACCTCAGCCCTTCAGCCCTTTGGTCTCGAGATTTGAAAAAAACAATAACAACACTGCTTATGACACAACAAACGTCAAAAAATTGACGTTTCAAAGTAGGCCTTGTTTTCCTTGACAGTCGATGCAAAATGGCGTTTTTTTTGTTGCCCTGTGAGCTTAAGATTGAAGAGACTCTCGCCCTTCGGGCTCGTAACTAAAAAGAAACGCCATTTCGACCCAAGGATGATACACCATACTACTACTATAGTCCTCCCTTTTCCCCCCCTGCGACAAATTATCAGTTGTGACGTAAGCAGCATGCTATTTCTCGCCTTGACATAAGCTGTTTAAACAATTAGTTATGACATCGGAACTTGTGACTCACCAATATGGCGGCGATTACCAAAAACGAAGCCGATAAACAATCCTGTAGGTGTATATCATCCTTGTCTAAAAACACCCTCAAAGACAACTGCAAGACAGCAAGGATATAACACACTATTGAAGATTGCTTATCGACCTCGTTTTTGATAATCGCCCTCGTTTTTGATAATCGCCCTCATAATAGTGTAGCACCATTGTCGACGTCATTAATTAAGTTGTCAGCTGCTCTTGCCAGCAGTCGTAGTTTGGAATCTGAATTCACGATGGAAAATATCATTAAATTTTGATAAACATAATAGACAAAAAAGAAAATGAAAACGAGTTGTTTTAGAATGTTAACGAAAAACGACATGGTGCTTACGTCATCTCTGGTGCTTTGGCAGGTAGGGGCTTTGAGATTTGAACTACATAGGCCTTATGGGGATAGACTATCCTGTAGTAGTAGTGTGTATTATCTTTGGCTAAACAGTAGCTTTATGACGTCATCTGAAGTGCCACAATATAATGCAAATCTCCATGAGGCATCCCAGATACGTCATCAAGTTACCCATAACCAAACAACCTGTGTTGTAACTAGTACAATGTACTTACATGGCCGTTTTTAATGCATCTCCAAATGAAGCAACCAATTGGGCACCCATTCCAAGTCCGTGGAACACCAACCCAATAATTGTCAGCCAAAAAATGCTATAATTTGAAATCACCAAGTAAAATACCAAAAACTAAAATTTATACCAATTGACTTACGTAGGTAAAGGTATAAAAGGTGCAGGTCCAATCAGACAAAACCCTACAGCCACTAGTAAAGTACCCAAAGCGGTAACCACTTTAGGCGGACACAAATTGTCGCAAACCCATCCCCAAGCCGGAGTAGTAACAGCATAAATCCCCCCATTTATCACAAACATCAGTCCCAAAATCATGGGAGCTAAATGGAACCCGCGCAGATGCGGTTCCAGAGTGGCTTGCAAAAAACTGATCGATGTACTAGTCACAATGATACTGGCCGAAGCTAACAGTACTCCGGGGATTTTCAGGATTTTCAGTACTGAGGAACCGTGCTCCCTGTCTTCACCGTGTTCGTGTTTCGGTAGTACCATGGCAGTAAGGATTGCGGACAGGAATAGGGCCGAACCCATCACTGCAAACGGTAAAGTGTAGCCGCCTACTTGGAATAGGGCTCCGCCTACTGTTGGGCCTACTATTAGACCTAGGCCAAAAAATGTTTCTAAAGAAGCCTGAAATGAAAAAGAAAACTCTATGCAACATGAAACATAAAAGGATCGGAAGAAGTTTGACAGCAATAGGGTATTTAGTATTTGTTGCATTGTCGTTATGAGTTATTTCTCTTCCTTCAGGCAGCGGCCTTTATTTTTTGTGTTGCGGACTTTTAATTGTCAGCGCCATCTATCTGTCATTATTCCAATTTGAAAATAACATAGGTACAGTTGTGAGCATTAAAAGTGGGACACTCGACTGACAGGTCTTGTCATTTTTCGTTATTTTGGGTAAATCAGTCTTTTTTGTACAACGAATTTTTTGTCAAATATGACAATCCCTGTCATTGCCGATGGTGTAGCTGGTTTTACAATAAGAAAAATCGGATGTCCCATTTTCAATGCTCACGACTACTTATTGTAGTTTTAGTTTTTCATTTCATATCATGATTGTATCTACAGGGTGCTTCCATATATTTTGACAGTATATAGCTGATTTATGAAGCAGGATGAAAAAATAATGTAAATGGCACTTACACCTTGTATATAAAAGTTATATGTACAGAATTGTCGTTATGTGTGGAAACAGTCTGATATTTCAGAACCGGCTTGAAAAAAAATTACAATATTTCCTATCTGGGGGTTTCTGGGAATTCCCGTTTCAATGAGCCTAATGAATAAAAACGTAGCAATTGCTTTTTCTTATAAAAGTGGCGTAATTGCTTGGAATCTAATGAATAAAAACCAAAGCAATTGCTTTTGCTTCCAGCAATTGCTTAGAAGTGCAGCAATTGCTTCTAGTCAAAGCTTTTTCTTAAAAAATGATAGCAATTGCTATCTTTTGCTTAAAATGTGATGAATAAAATAAGGAATTGCTTTTTCTAGTGTAGCAATTGCTTCCAAATGTTCAAGCTAGGTTGACCCCTGCATCTTTTACTTTACTTGACTTCAGTCAAATTTAGTTCTCTGTGATGAATAGTTGCTGTAGCGTATAATTATGGCTGAATATATGAATTTGGGTAAGAGAAAAATTTACAGTGTACGAAAAAATTGCAGAGACGATAATTTCAAAAAGTTATATCGCTTCGATCGCGAGAATGTTCAATGGTTGGCAGATTATTTTTTGACTGATGTGGGGGAAACGCGAGGGGGCGCACTATCACCTTTAACTAAGATGAAAGTCTTTCTGCGGCAATTGGCAGATCCTGGCTATCAAAATTCTGTTGGTGAAGAACTTGGAATTCACCAAACTTCTGTGTGTAAGACATACACTTCCGTACTCAATACAGTTGTTGAGAAGGCCAATATTTTCATCAAATTCCCTAGGAGTGCTGAAGCTGTTGTGGAAGCTAAACGGTTGTGGTCAGACAGATACCGTTTTCCAAATGCCATCGGTGTGATAGACTGTACTCACGTCAGGATTCCAAAGTTTCAAGAATTTGGTGATGAATATATTAACCGAAAAGGGTACCCCAGCATCAACGTGCAAGCAACTTGTGATGCACGAGAAATGTTTACAAGCGTAGATTGCCAATGGCCAGGCTCTGTGCACGATAGCAGAATTTTCAAAAATTCCAACGTATTCAACATTCTTAAAAATAGCCCAGAAGATTGCTTATTATTAGGAGACGATGGCTACTCCATATCGCCTTGGGTTATGACTCCCTGGAAAAATCCTGCAACCCAGGAGCAGCAAAATTACAACAACGTTTTCTGCCGAGAACGTGTGGTAATTGAGAGATGTTTTGGACAGTTGAAAGCAAGGTTCCCTGTCCTTCGGTATAAAGTTCGGAACAAATTAGATAAAATTCCATCGACGATAATTGCCTGCGTTGTCCTTCATAATATCGCTAAACAATTGAATGATCCAGATTTCAAGAACTATTCGATTCAAGATGACGATTTTGGAATTGACGCACAACCACCAAACGATCTAACGACAAATGTGATTAGTCAATTAGGACAGCAAAAACGAGAATTGATAACTCAAATGCTCTTTAATTAATCATGTATGTATTAGATTTAATTTATTTATTTATTAAACAACAAATAATAATTATCTAATTATATAATTTCGATAACAAAATCAAATTTTAATCAAAATCTTAAATTAAATATTCGAAGAAAACAATCAAATATGAAAACTAATTTTACAGGTGTATTTTCAACTTAATCAATTATGATTGCAATACATTTTCTTAAATATGTGCACTCTCACTATAACTGGAAGAACTTCTTGCCGTTTTCCACAACAACATTGTTGACATGAAATGTATCATCAGATTCTTGTTTTCTCCTCAAGATTTCTCCCTGTTGCATACGACATAATTTAAGCTGTTCTAATAAAACTAATCGTTGTAGTTCAACAGTTGACAAATTTCTCGTTTCATCAGTTTCAGGTAGTTTATCTGATATTTTAATTTTTTTTCTAGGAGTGGTACTGCAAGCTTCATCTTTAGTAATAAAAATGTCATTCGATGATGTAGAAGGCTTATCACGAATCATTTGTTCGTCATCTCCGACGGAAATAGCGCCTGAAAATTGTATTTTTTATTTTGTTTCAAGGGGCATTATTAAAAAAATTAGCTACTATACCTGGTATTTTATTAAAGACGGGATTTTTTTTTACATCCAGCATATCCATTAACAATTTTTCCCAATCTTTGTAGATCAATGGTTTGTTGCCTGTCTTGTTAACATCAAACTTCTTTTTTATCTCTGCCTTCATGTTACTAATTTTCTTTGCTAACTGTTTTGTCGTTAGTAAGACGTTGAATATTTCTCTATATTGCTTTACTAAGATTGTTAAAGCGGCCTCTTTTTCTAGTTTAACTTGGGGCACTTGTGACTTATTGAAAACTATTTTATGTTCCTTCAGTTTCTGTATAAATATAAATTGCTTGTCTTTAATATCTTCAAATTCTTCATCGCTACTACTTCCCTCTTCACTTAAATCTGCCATCACAAATATAAATAATCGTAGCAAACTAATCCGCGGGGTTGTACTCAACTAACAAAATACGGGCGGCACCGGAATGAAATGATAAGTGAAATAAGACAAGCCTGGACTTGTTTTCAGTAAGCAATTGCTGGAAAGATGTTTGGAAAAGCAGCATTTGCTTAAAACTTTATTCATATGAAGATCTAGCCATTGCTTTTACTTGTAGCAATTTGCTAATTAGCAATTGCTTTTGCTAAATAGCAATTGCTCCAAGCAATTGCTTGTTTTTTATTCATTAGGCTCAATGGTGGTATTTGCAATGTTGCCAAATTTACCGTTTCTAAGATGCCGTATGTAACTGCCTGTAGGGAAATTAATTTTAAAAAAAATCAAGTTACATACGGCATCTTATATACGGTAAATTTGACAACATTGCAAATACCACCATTGAATCGGGCATTCCCAAAAACCCCAAGGCAGGAAATATTGTACATTTTGCTAAAGTCTTTTCTGAAATACAAGACTGTTTTCATACATTTTAACAAAAAATCTGTGTTGCCATATTTCAAAAACCAAGTAGAATTGAGTTTTGGCATTTAGGGGTTCTTGTTGGGACACTGAATTAATTACAATAAAAATAAAGAGGGGCATCCATTTAAAAAAATCAAGTTACATACGGCATTTAACAAACGGTAAATTTGGAAATACCACCATTGAATCGGGCATTCCCAAAAACTCCCAGGTAAGAAATATTGTAACTTTAGGACGTCATCTTGGGTGCCTCAATATAATGCAAATCTCCATAAGGCACCCCAGGTGCGTCATTAAGTTACCCGTTACCAGACAACCTATTATCTTTGGGAACCTTGTTCAAAGGCGAACTAAATTCTGTCAAATATACGGAAAAACCATGCAAGGATATTACACACTACTACAGGATTGCTCATTGGTATTATTTTTTGGTATCAACGTCATATGGTGTACCGTTGCCGACGTCATCAACGCTGTTGTCAGCTGTATACGCCAGTGGTTGTAGTTTAAAATCAATCTAAAAATGTGTTTTTACAAAATATCAATAATTAATGTACTAAAACCTTGACTGAAACCAAGTACTATGAACAAAAAAGAGCAAGCGAAATCATGGACAGTTTCAAAGACCGTTTTAAAACAGTTTCAGCTATGACGTCACTATTTTATAAACTGAAAAAATGCAACTTTTCAAAACTACAATGCTAACCTTCGAACCTGGCATCTGTTCAATTTAGCCCCGTGCTTTGTCGCAAAAAAAATGCCCCATGACCTATTGTGCAAACACCGTATGTCGAGGCGCGAAACGACACGCTGCCTACGTCATCACTGGTACTTTTTTGGAAATTTAAACTATACTTAGGCCTTATGAAAATAGGTTATTCTGTGTAGTGTATAACATCCTTGACAACCATTTATCAGCAAGGAGATTTTTACACAATTATATACTTACAAATGTTGTAGCTACTTTATCGGGAAACTCTTTGGCAATAATAGCGAAGCTGGCTGTCAAAAAGGCCGCATTTCCCATAGCTTCCACTATCCGTATGACGAAACTCAAGATTATAAACGGATACCGGCCTTCTACCTTGTCCAAAAATCTAAAATACATAAAAATTGCAACATTTTTCAAATAGAAATTCGTTAACTTACCCAAACAAAATGGCGCATATTCCCGTAGTATAGATGCCTCCATTAAACGTAACTTTCGGACCGATTTTGTTCAAATGCTGCCCGTACAGGGGGCTCACTATGAAAACGACAAATTCGAATATGCCAAATACGAGACCGTATTCTGTTGCAGTGCATCCTTTTCTTTCAGCCTAGAAAAAAAAAAGAATCACCCTGTACATTTTGCCACTCTTTTCATTTCTATTCATTTTTTTATACACCGGTATACAAGGGTGTTCGGGAATAACTTGAAGTACCTACATGGGGATTTTGGAAACAAGGTAGATCAACTGAGTTGCGCAATCAAGTGTCTACAAATAATCTGTCAATTTCTTTGAACTCGGAATTTCCCCATTTGGTCCAACTTGTATCTTGAATGGCTTCCAAAATATTTATTCTGGACACCCTGTATAGAAGCTATGTAACTTTTGGCGCCATATGTTATGTAAATAAACCAATTTCATGCGCAAATGAGAAAATACTTTGTTTCTAATGAATAACAAAGCATTTTTCTGTTGATAAACTATTTTTAGTTGTTATTAATGGCGCGCCGATTTTGACCGAAATGATGTAATTTTGCACTAAACTTACCACATAATATTTGGTTTTAGATTATTAGTTTTTGCGCAGGGTCTGCAAGTGACGTTACCACATCAGCAGCTTATAGTGGTGACGTCACCCGCAGACCTTGATGGAATGTTTGCGATAGGGACTGTGCTTGTTATTCAGGTTTAGGAATTCGTTGTTTCGATCTTACCAATTCTGGAAAAAATGGCGCTTGTAACGAACAAACCATGCCACTACAAAAATCCGCAATTCCAATTACCAACAATGTCAGAGCTTGTCTCTTTTTCAATTTGTTCAGTCCCTTCATTTTTTACAATTTTACTTTATCACAGGCACTATTCAAGTTCAAACATCCAAAAACTAGTACGACAAATGAAAATAAGACAATTCCATAATAATCAAAAAGTTCAAATACAAATATTTTCGTACGACCATAACTTTGCACTGCCCCAAGCCCAACTATCGGCGCTATCAGTTGGAACAAGGCGGATGTCGTTATAAGTATCACTCTATATTAACAACAAAACCCAAAGGTCTTTAATTGAACAAATATTGTTTGTTTGATTTTAGGCATCGTTAATGAGATGTAATTAAATTTAATAAATAAATATTCCTTTTTGGAAATTTCTTATTTTTATGCCGTATTTATCGCAGTGATAATTTGGTTTTGATAAGCATATAGAGGTGTTCCTTTCTATATCATTAACCTTGATACGCAAAAACAGAGTAGGCTTCGGAAAAAATGACAGTCATGATGGCCTTTTTGGAAACCCTACATAGGTGTCTAGTTTGGGCGCCAAATTCAAACTTTTTTACCAAAGCCTACTTTGTTGCTTGTCAAACTGTCGTGTTGTTACATGGACATCGATTGACAGCGTTGCCAACTTTAGGAAATGTTGTTTTTATTACAGGCTCTTGAATTTTCTTTATTGGGAAAAAAGATTCAAGAGCCGGTAATAGACAAAAATTGAGAAAAGTGCAAAACAAATGTCTTTTTATCTCTTTCTTATACAAGTTATTAGAAAAAGTGCGCACTAATTCCTCCAATAGAATTCGCTATTAGTAGGCTTTGAAAATACCTATCGCCATACCGGTATTACAGGTGTCTAGTTTAGGCGTCAAATTCAAACTTTGAAATTTTCCAAAGCCTACTTTGTCGCTTGTCAAACTGTTGTGTTGTTACATAGACATTGATTAACAGCGTTGCCAACTTTAAGAAATGTTGTTTTTATTACAGGCTCTTGAATTTTCTTTATTGGGAGAAAAGATTCAAGTGCCGGTAATAGACAAAAATTGAGAAAAGTGCAAAACAAATGTCTTTTTATCTCTTTCTTATACAAGTTATTAGAAAAAGTGCGCACTAATTCCTCCAATAGAATTCGCTATTAGTAGGCTTTGAAAATATCTATTGTCATGCCGGTATTACAGGTGTCTAGTTTAGGCGCCAAATTTAAACTTTAAAATTTTCCAAAGCCTACTTTGTCGCTTGTCAAACTGTCGTGTTGTTACATAGACATTGATTAACAGTGTTGCCAACTTTAAGAAATGTTGTTTTTATTACAGGCTCTTGAATTTTCTTTATTGGGAAAAAAGATTCAAGAGCCGGTAATAGACAAAAAGTGAGAAAAGTGCGAAACAAATGTCTTTTTATCTCTTTCTTATACAAGTTATTAGAAAAAATGCGCACTAATTCCTCCAATAGAATTCGCTATTAGTAGGCTTTGAAAATACCTATCGCCATACCGGTATTACAGGTGTCTAGTTTAGGCGCCAAATTTAAACTTTAAAATTTTCCAAAGCCTACTTTGTCGCTTGTCAAACTGTCGTGTTGTTACATAGACATTGATTAACAGCGTTGCCAACTTTAAGAAATGTTGTTTTTATTACAGGCTCTTGAATTTTCTTTATTGGGAGAAAAGATTCAAGAGCCGGTAATAGACAAAAATTGAGAAAAGTGCAAAACAAATGTCTTTTTATCTCTTTCTTATACAAGTTATTAGAAAAAGTGCGCACTAATTCCTCCAATAGAATTCGCTATTAGTGGGCTTTGAAAATATCTATTGTCATGCCGGTATTACAGGTATCTAATTTGGGTGCCAAATTCAAACTTTGAAATTTTCCAAAGCCTACTTTGTCGCTTGTCAAACTGTCGTGTTGTTACATAGACATCGATTAACAGGGTTGCCAACTTTAAGAAATGTTGTTTTTATTACAGGCTCTTGAATTTTCTTTATTGGGAGTAAAGATTCAAGTGCCGGTAATAGACAAAAATTGAGAAAAGTGCAAAACAAATGTCTTTTTATCTCTTTCTTATACAAGTTATTAGAAAAAGTGCGCACTAATTCCTCCAATAGAATTCGCTATTAGTAGGCTTTGAAAATATCTATTGTCATGCCGGTATTACAGGTATCTAGTTTGGGTGCCAAATTCAAACTTTGAAATTTTCCAAAGCCTACTTTGTCGCTTGTCAAACTGTCGTGTTGTTACATAGACATCGATTAACAGGGTTGCCAACTTTAAGAAATGTTGTTTTTATTACAGGCTCTTGAATTTTCTTTATTGGGAGAAAAGATTCAAGTGCCGGTAATAGACAAAAATTGAGAAAAGTGCAAAACAAATGTCTTTTTATCTCTTTCTTATACAAGTTATTAGAAAAAGTGCGCACTAATTCCTCCAATAGAATTCGCTATTAGTAGGCTTTGAAAATATCTATTGTCATGCCGGTATTACAGGTATCTAGTTTGGGTGCCAAATTCAAACTTTGAAATTTTCCAAAGCCTACTTTGTCGCTTGTCAAACTGTCGTGTTGTTACATAGACATTGATTAACAGCGTTGCCAACTTTAAGAAATGTTGTTTTTATTACAGGCTCTTGAATTTTCTTTATTGGGAAAAAAGATTCAAGAGCCGGTAATAGACAAAAAGTGAGAAAAGTGCAAAACAAATGTCTTTTTATCTCTTTCTTATACAAGTTATTAGAAAAAGTGCGCACTAATTCCTCCAATAGAATTCGCTATTAGTAGGCTTTGAAAATATCTATTGTCATGCCGGTATTACAGGTATCTAGTTTGGGTGCCAAATTCAAACTTTGAAATTTTCCAAAGCCTACTTTGTCGCTTGTCAAACTGTCGTGTTGTTACATAGACATTGATTAACAGCGTTGCCAACTTTAAGAAATGTTGTTTTTATTACAGGCTCTTGAATTTTCTTTATTGGGAAAAAAGATTCAAGAGCCGGTAATAGACAAAAAGTGAGAAAAGTGCGAAACAAATGTCTTTTTATCTCTCTCTTATACAAATTTTTGGAAAAAGACACAAATACACTCAATGCGCAGTAATTCCTCTAATAGAACTCGCTATTAGTAGGCTTTGAAAATATCTATTGCCATGCCGGTATTACAGGTGTCTAATTTGGGCGCCAAATTCAAACTTTAAAATTTTTCAAAGCCTACTTTGTCGCTTGTCAAACTATCGTGTTACTACATTGACATCGATTAACAACGTTGCCAACTTTAAGAAGTGTTGTTTCTATTACAGGCTCTTGAATTTTCATTATTTGGAGAAAAGATTGAAGAGCCGGTAATAGACAAAAAGTGAAACATGTGCAAAATAAATGTTTTTTTATCTCTTTCTCATACAAACTGGTAGAAAAAGACATGGATACACTCAGTGCGCACTAATTTCTCCACTAGAATTCGTTATTAGTAGGTTTTGAAAATATCTATTAGCATGTCCCTGATCTGAGCCGCTTTCGGGTCCTCCTAGAACACTTCACACCTGTCAGTGACCTGTCATACTCCATGCGTTTTGCATTCGAACGCTTGAAACCGAACGCGTTAAACTGTAGCGGGAGTAGTTCGGAGTAACTCGGGAGCGCTCAAAGGGTGGCACCCGAAAACAGCTCTGATTAACCCGATCAACAGCTGTTTATTTTTTGTCTTTCTTCAATAAACACTATTGAAAAAAGATAAAGTATATTAGCTGGTGAGTTATAGTGTGTGTCAATGGGGTTATCAGTGGCAGAATTTTCTAAATTGAGTTTTTTTTTTTAAATTACACTTTTGTCTAAGCATCTTACGAGAAACAAAGGTTTGTCTCCCTCTCTTTTTATTTGCAAAATTTGACTTTACTGGCGGATGTACAGTTTCATAATTGGTGGTAACCTGCACTGGTTATCAAACTCATAGTTGTAGGTTGACCACATTAAGGGTGGGTATTATAAAACTTCAAACACATTATGAAACAGTATATTTTGGGTTACCAGTATTACTGTTGGGTGACCACTTTTTGTGAAACTGGCCCTCAGTAGTGCAAAATTAGAATAAGAGGTGAGTTATGTCATACATTGAACATGACGATTCTATCTCATTCTAATTATGTGCCACTTTTATACACACACGACTGTACGTTACAAAAACGTAACCGCCATTTTAATTATGATGCAATAGTTATGTTATACCTATAGTTTTAGAGGTTTTCCTCTCTGAATAATTAACCTTGATCTCAGTAGGCCATGAAAAATGTGGCAAGACGCAGTTGCCAAACGGCCTACTCGAACTAAATTTTAAAAAATCTTAGTTTTTATGAAGTGATAAATGATTCTTACCTCTTGTGGATAAAAAGGGGCCTGTAAAGATACACAAATAGCATTACAAAAATCCGCCACCCCAATAACGATAAGCGTCAGCCACTGTCTCCTTGTAAAATTAAGCATTTTCTCTCGGATAAGTTAACACTTTTCAAAAATTGCGCGTTAGAGTACTACGACAATGCAGATACGAAGACTTCTTCTTTATCTTTACCATTTTGCGATGCCCCAGTCAAAATATCAACATTTTTGGTAGCGACACAAAAAATTCACTGGCTTTTTTTGTGGATAAACTTTGTGCACTTATTAATAAAACCATTATTTATCCGCCAGGATCCGAGGGGCCAAAGGTTTCCAGATTAGTGTAAAAGTTCACTTACAATCTTATGTATTATGGCTTTGGTTGCGATAATAACATGGACTTTTTTGTCTTAAATAATTTTTAATGGGATAATAATATTTATTTGAAACGTGTCTTGAACTTGATACTGTGTTGCTAATTATTGATTGTTTTTCAATTTTTCTATGTAAAGATATTGAAAATTTCATCTTTTTTTCAAATTTTCCAAAGAATAATTTTTTTAAGATATACAGGGTGGTTCATTTGACTTGAGACACTCACAGTTTAAATGAAAGAGAGTCAAAAATCATTGCCCTGTGACACCGCATGTGACTTTTAATTGATTGTTTTTGAGGTATTAGATTGTCTCAAATTAAATGGGCCACCCTGTATAGCTAGAACAGTATTGATTGACCTTTATCAAATGAAACGCATTTTTTACAAAAATAAAAATTTATTTTGTAGGAAACCTTAAATTATAACAAATAAAGAATTATTAAAACTAATTTCCTGTAGCTATCAAACTTTTGTGTTTGTACTTTATTTACTCAAGGTTCCTAAAGTTAATAGGT